ACAGGAGAACATGTTAAACATGGATGCTATGAGCGAGCAGCGGGCGGGTCAGGAGAGGTCTGCCACGCCATGTGGATCTCCTCCGGGGCAGGTGAGGAATCGAACTCATGCGGAAGTGGCTTAAGCTTCTTAGTGCAGTGCTTTAACCCGCTGCACCACCAGGGAGGGCCTGCAATACTGTCCTTTTAAGGATGTTCTATAAGATTGGAAAAATACCTGTTTTTTTTCCTGATGATAGAAAAATTTATAATAACCATGGAAAATTTGTTAAGTAGGAAAAGATGAGTGATAAAAATGAGACTCACAATTCAGGGTAGATACTATCAGTAATCCCACTCACTGCCCAGATTAATATATATGTTATATTGTATATATTCTATCATGTATTGTATGTGTAATATATATATGGGAAATTTCTGTGATTTAAGTCGTAGGCTGCTGTAGTTATGGCAGCCCTAGAAAATCAACACAAGTCTTTACAAAAGAGGTTTTGTGTCCAAAGATCAAAGTGGCTGCTACTGACCAACCTAGAATTTGCAATCTGGGATCTAGTAACATCTTTCTCCTAATTTTATCTGCATAGACCACAAAAACCTCTGAGGATGTTGTAATCATGACTATGAGAAAGAAAACAAGCCCACTATATGGAATCTCACTGATGGCTGCCTTTTAAAAACTAGTTAATTATGGGACCAGTTTCCACTGGTGGTGAGTGCAGGGGAAATGAGTAGAACTTGGATATTAGCTGAGACAGACAATTAAGAAAGGAAACCTATACCTTGCAAAGAACTCTTTTATGTTTACTTACTTTCTGTCTTTCTATATAAAAAGTGTACTGTGTCATATTTAATTTTAGTCAACTGTGAAACACAGGCTTCTTATTATTTACCTGTGAGCCTGACTACAAATTGAAAGGCTTTCTGAGATTCAAAACCTCATTAACTCCAGATTGTGGCTCCTCTGCTTCCCTCTGTAGGAACACAAGCAAGTATAAATTTCAAAGGGAGCCTCTTACCTCCATGCTTGTGCTGAAAGCTCTGCTAACTTTTGCTTTGATGGTTATAACTTGTCCAACTCTATAAAAAGAAAAAGGGGGGGGGGGATGAGAAACTCAATAATCCTAGCACATCTCATTTCAGACTTAAAACTTTACTTAAATATATGTCCCACAGAGCAGATCCACCATAAACATGCTGATAATGTTCATGCCTGAAAAACTTAGGTTAATGATAACAGAAAGATACTACTAAAAACAGATGTTTATCATTGTAAACCACACATATGTTAGCTGCTACCTCTATTTAAGCAGAAAAAGGCCTTTGTAAAGATGGTATGCAAAATGATTTACAAATCTGCAACAGATAGCTTTGACTATATGCAGCTGTTTCCTTCAGGGAAGTTAAAACAAGCAGGGAAGTTAAAACAAGCATGCCAGCAAACCAATACAACTGAGACTGATTTTTTTTTTTTTAGAGATTTAGTTATTTATGCTTATAGAACTGGGGTACAGGCCAAAGGTGTGGTAGGAGAGGATTCACCAGAGTGGGGAGCAGAACAGGCAGATCGTCTGCTGAGGGGAGCAGCGGGCAGGTCAGGAGAGGTGTGCTGCACCATGTGGGTCAGCTCCCTGGTGGGGGATCAAACTCGTGCTGTCGAGGCTTGGGAGAGCTTCATAATGTGATGCTGTAACCCATTGGGCCACCGGGGAGAGCCCTGAGATTGATTTTACATGCTATTAAATAAATGACTAAACATGCAAACAAAAAAGCAAATAAATTGATCTACTTCACTAGGTTCACATGGGCCCTCAAAGCTGCCAGATGATCTACTTATTCCTCATTGGTACTAGAACTGGCCATGGATCCATGTGTTCATGCTCCCTCCGTCACCTTGACCCGTCACCATGGTAGATGGAAAGGGTCTACTCAAAAGAGTCACCTCACTTTTTCTTCCAGGCTTTCAAAGTGGAACTGTGTTCTAACTGCTCTTCCCCTTACTCTGCCTTTTTAGTGAAATAAGGATACATATTTTGAAGATCTCTTTCTTCACCTGTGCCCCTGATTCCAGTCCCCCATTACATCTCCTCATTTATGCCTGCAACTTCTGCCCTATATCCTTACTGGTCTATTAACATGTTCAACTCATCTTTCTCTCAGGTCTATTATATCAAGTTATTTCCCCCTAATTCTTTACATTTCAGGCTTCCTAAAATATGAATAATTTAATTTTGTCCTAATGCATACATTTAACTAATGTTTACTGAATTACAGCTAGTCTACCATTAGATGAGTAAGATAAGTTTGTGACTTCATAAAGACCAGTCTTCACTTGGGACACCAAAACTGCAATGCCATGTAGTTTTTTTGAAAATAAGAAAAGTTAATTATTGAAAAATATACTTTAAAAAAACATATAATTCCTATTTTTGTCCACTGAGAAGACTTAGTCATTATGACCAGACCTTTATCAGTGAGTATCTCTCATGCTCAGATTGTGATCTCTACTTATCATTTCTTTTGAAGAAATCTCTAGTTTTAAGTTTGTATGAGAAAATATAAGTGATGAGCCCACCTTGTCACATCAGAAAGCAAAGGAATTACTAACGCTGTCTAAAGTTGCTTTATGATATGACAACAGACTTGGAAACCAAACTGCAGAAATTCCCACTGCTAAAAGATGGAGTTTTGGCCCTCCCTTGTGGTGCAGTGGGTTAAAGCACAGCACTGAGAAGCTTAAGCCACTTCCGCATGAGTTCGATTCCCGCCTGCCCCGGAGGAGATCCACAAGGCGTGGCAGACCTCTCCTGACCCACCCGCTGCTCCCCTCAGCAGTGTACTTCGTTGATCTGCCTGTTCTGCTCCCTGCTCTGTCTCTGGTGAATCCTCTCATCCTCCGCATTTCTGGCCTGTACCCTAGTTCTATATGAATAAATAAATCTTTAAAAAAAAAAAAAGATGGAGTTTGAGCATCCATAAAGATAATCACATCAGAATTGAAACTAGCAACTATGTTAAAGCTCATGGACTCCTAATGGCACTAAATAAAGGGGAAGAATTAAATCTCTCTTCCCTGGACAAACTTATATGGTATCTAGGTCACTTATAAGAGAAAATATCTCTACAACAAGTGTTTAACAAGGAATAAATGAAGAAATGACACAATTAGCATGTTATCATTTTACCAGTATCTAGTGAAATAATGGTTCCAGGAAATGATCACTAGATACTGTGTGCTCTTAACAGGCACTATTTTTACTAAAAATTTCAAATCTTCATATCAATTTATTTTTTTTATTCAAACCTCTACAAATGTATGTTTACACATCATAACAATGACTAAAGCCCCCCAAATCCTCTACTATGCTCTACTGGGTCCCCTCTCCATCAGATTGATTATTGGATGTAATTATCAGATTACAAGAAATATAGATACAGGAGAACATGTTAAACATGGATGCTATGAGCAAATACAAAATGTGGTAAATTATAAGGTTTCTTTAAAATAAATTGCAAAGGAAAAGAAGAAAAATTGACATAGTAAAAGATCTATCAACCATAATGGATGCTGGCTCATAAATCTTTTTTTTTTTTTTTTACGCTTGAAACCATTGGGAATGATCATTTCTGTTAATGTTATTTTGATTAGACTTTTTTTTTTTTTTAAAAGAACCCTTACCTTGGAAATATATACTGAGGGCTCTCCCTGATGGCTCAACAGGTTAAAGCACTGCATTATGAAGCTCTCCAAAGGCACTACAGCACAAGTTCAATCCCCGGCCAGGGAGCTGACCCACATGGCATGGCAGATCTCTCTTGACCCACCCACTGTTACCCTTAGCAGTGTATTTCAGTACATCTGCCTGTTCTGCTCCCCACTCTGTCTCTGGTGAATCCTCTCAACCATCGTACCTGTGACCTGTTTCCCAGTTCTGTAAATATAAATAAATCAATCTTAAAAAAAGTAAGAAGAAATATATAATGAAATAGATGATACCTGGGATTTGCTTTAAAATAATTTGACTGTTTGGGGGCTTATGGAGGCATACTGATGAAAGAAGAGTATTCATGACTTGATTATTATTATACCTAGGTGTAGGTCCCTGGGGACAAACTCTATCATTCTCTCTATTTTGCATATGTTTGAAGTATTTATATATCCTTAAATTTTCTATAAGGCATTAAAGCACATAGGCATTCACACATAACGTTTTTCATAATTTGTCATTTCTACTCAGATGAATTACTGTTTACCCAACAATCTAATGATGAAATTCACCATCACAGAGATAGCTATTATCATTAATTACTCGTTAGTAAAGGAAAGAGCCATTAAGAAGCAGCTTGTGAAAATCCTGCTCTTCCTTATACCAGAAAACATCCAACGAGGAGAGCTGTTTCTCATCAAAATAGACTGTGAACTTACACTTAAGAGTGTAAATCACAGCATCTAAAAAGTAAGTCCAGATTTACATTGGGCCAAATGCTATTTATTTTATTAACGTTGATCAGTAAATAAATTAACTTGGTACCATAAATGTGCCACAAATTCACGAAGAAAATAATGAAACCAGGAGAAAGGCTTGACACAGCGATGCCACTTACTTAGCAGTCTCTTCAAATTGTATGTCATCCACTGAGGCTGTTACACAGGAAACCCCAGCGTGTTTTTCAGCTTCAAAAAGAAAAAAAAAAAAGTAAATGTGCTGCATGAGTGGTTATGTTTCAATATTTCAGCATAAAGGAAAAAGAGTAAGACTCATCCTTTTGTTACTATGTGACCTCTATGCCCACTCTTTGGATGGTCTGTACCAGAACAGTAACTATGGTCTGTCAGTTCTATTTCTACTGCATGTAAGTTACTCTTGCTTTAATGTATACCATCTTTGACTTAAATTCTAACACCAATACCAGTATACCTAGTAATTTAAATAATTATTGAGTAAATTAGTGCCAACTTTAAATATTTTGTGTTAAAAAACAATGCATCGACACTTTATCCTTTATCCATAACCAGTAACTGAGTATATTTAAAACACTAAACCAGACTAAGCACTGAACATTTGGAAGACCCTGAAGTCATACCCCCAGTCAAAGAGGAGCTTCTCTCAGCAGCAGAGAAACAGAGATGGGCATATTGTAAGTATTTAACCAATGTTTTTTTTACTGATTATTACCAAATTCACCTACATTGATTATAAAGGAGAAAGGGTTTATTGAGTAGGGTAAAGGGAGATTAGGGAGGCATTCAAGTTACTTCTGTGAATCATGTCTACCTTTAATTTGTTGAGACATTTTTTTTATTGTTGGCTTTGTTTTACAGAAAAATTTAAAAATTTACTTTCTTTGGGAAATTTTGATAGTGTTCTGCCAGCATTTGATTTTTGAGGAATAGTCAGTTAAAACCCAAACAGATTGCTTTGACTTTTAAGGACTATTTACTCCATTTTAATTTTGGAGACTTCATTCCTTGTGCTACATTTGAAAAAGAAAGTGACAGTGAATTTGTATTCTTTGTGTGTAGAGCATTTGTATCCTTGTTGTGTAGTGCATTATTTTAATGTTTAATATTATAATTAATCAAGAGTCCCAGGTAAAAAGGCATGAGAAAATATGCCAGGGCAAATATTTAAAATATTCCTGGGCCCTGCCTGGTGGTGCAATGGGTTAAGCTAAGCATAGCATTATGAAACTAGCTGCAGCCACTTTAGCATGAGTTTCATCCCTGGCCAGGAAGGTGACCCATATGTTGTGGTGGACCTCTCCTAACCCACCCACTGTTCCGTTCAGTAGTGTACTTGGCCAATCTGCCTGTTCTGCTCCCTGCTCTGTCTCTGGTGAATCCTCTCAACGCCCCTGCGCCTCTGGCCTTTACCCTAGTTATTATGTATATAAAAAAAAATGCTCCTATAATCAAATTCTGTAGAAACTTGGACTTTCTGGCTTTACAAGTTTGAATTATCTTTCCAAATGTGCCATAATATAAACTGAGCTACCAGAAAAGCAACTATCAGAGAGCTCTGTGAGTGATGGAGTGGCGGGGAGGGGCTCTCAGTTATAGAGTTCAGTAAGCAGAAGTGAGTGTAAAAGAAATACTCAAGTGGGCCCAGTTTAATTCAGTGTATCAAGTATTTGTTAAGTTGCCACGTGGCATTGGTGATGTAGTGGTGAGCATAGCTGCCTTCAAAGTTGCCACTGATTAACAGATCCGGAGCTGAATCAGATCTATCTTTTAACAAATGAGCAGTGACAGATAAGAGATCCAGTCATAGTCAGTGCCCTTTTGGAATACCCAGAGAACTACTGGACTCTCACAAATACGCCCTGTAAAACATTGACTAAAGGGCACCTAATAGGGAGTCATCTAGTTACCTAACATGAGAGAATGGGATGAAAGGTTTAATAAAGTAATCTTACTAATAAAATGTTACCATGTACATGAACAGGAGTTACCAATTTTGAATGATTCAAATGATAAGTAAAGTGTAATGTCCAATAAATGAGCAAAATTACTATGTATATTGGGTATCTAGTAGGTGGCATATATTGTACTACACTAGATTGTATACGGCCTCAAGAAGAATCATCATAATAGTTACTATTTATTAAGCATTTATTATTGGCCAGGTGCTGAGCTAAGTATTTAAGGATGTCAAATACATGAATATGAATATTGTTATTTCAATTTTATGAATAAGAAATTTAGGCTTAGTGAGATGAAATACATTATTTTAAATTTTTTCCTTTTTTTTTTTTTTTTAGTATAGAAGCAATGGAAACTTTTAGAAAAGACTAAACAAGAATGCTCCCTAGAGAATACTTGGCTAAATAGTCTTCAGAGGCACAGTAGAATGGTTTATATCATAGATTTCAAAGGCCATTAAAAGGAAAAAAAAAAATGTGGGAACCAACATTGGGTCACAGTTTTTATCTGTGATTATATATTTGCTGATATAATATAGTTTTTCTTTTACAAGTGTGTCCATTATTCTGGATTCTTTTGATTATCTTTCATACAGTAAGTCAAAGAAGAAAAAAAAAATAACAACCTTAAACTATTTCCAAGGGAAGTTAGAGAAGCTGAGGAATAGTAGACTAGCTAAGTGGCTATGTCCCAGATATGAGATGATGACTGATAAAACTGATGGTATCTCTATTTATTTACTCATTTAACTAATGTTGATTGAATACCTGGACTGACAGCCTCTATGTAAAGTGTGGAACAATAAAATAACCCTGATCCCAGTATTCATGGTGTCCAGGGACTAAATGAATCAACACATAACAGCAAAATGAGTTAAGTGTTCTGAAGAAAACATGGATTTTGGGAGAGTGTGAAACCAAAGAACCAGACTTAGGTAGGATGTGTAGAGGATGCTTGTAATAAAATCTGAAGGACAAGTAGGAGTAAAATAGATGTTGAGGGAACAAAAGAGAAAAAGGGAAGAGCTTGCTGGGCAGAAGTAGCAGTGATTGCAAAGGCCCATCAAAAAGAAGGCTAGGTGACATAAGGCCGAAGGGAAGACCAAGGGCAGATCACTCGCCAGGACCGGGCGCCTCACTCCATGTGTCCACCGTCTCAGGCCTCCATTGTTTGTTTCTGGTGGTGTTCCTATATATAATGTAGTGCCTCGCTTTCAAGATTTTTTCCCCCTTCATTATAGTTTGCTTATGAGGTGCCTTAATGTGATTTTCTTTGTATAACTTGCTTATTATTGTACTATGTTACAACTGTAGTGAGTGTGTTTCACCATGTCTAGGAAAACTGCAGCCACTACTTAAAATATTTGGTTTTGCTCCACGCTATATCTCATCTCCTGTAGGACTCCAGTGACATGTATTTTACACCTTTTGATTTTGTTTTCAGAAGTCTCTGCTACCTTGTCCATTTTTAACATAAAATTTCCCTCTGTTCTTTAGATAGGGTAATTTCTACTGATCCATCTTTATGGTTACTAACTCTTTTATCCATCTTCCTCCTTCTACTAGTTCTATGCAGTGAATTTTTGGCTCAGGTACTATAATTTTCTTTTTTTAATAATTTCTCTGCTAAGATTTTTTTCATCACTTATGATCATATTTTCTTTTATTATATTCTTGAGCAAAGTTATAATTAGCTCCTTTTAAGTCCTTGAAGCTTAATTGGAATATCTGGGTCATCTAGGGATTGGTCTCCACCCATTGTCTTTTTTTCCTCTCCATTGTCATTTAAGAATGGGTCATGTTTATCTGTTTCTTTGTATACCAAATAATTTTTAATTATATACTAGCCATTGTGAGTGATAAATCATAGAAGCCAGGGACTATTTATGTGTTCTTTTAAGAATATTTGTTTTTTTCTTAAGTAGGCAGTTAACTAAATTCAAAGGATAAAGCTGTCTCCATATAAGTGGGAGCAGTCCTTTCGGTTCTTTTGGCTTTAGGTAGACAGTGTAGGCTCTGTTCTATGCATATACCACTTCATTCATTAGCGATTAAAGCAAAGACTGTAGATAGATATTTGAGTTCAGCTTTTCTAGCTCTCTCTTTTTTGAATTACATTCTAGTAGTTATGTTTTCCCTAAATTTTATGGCTCTTCAAATTGACAAATGTGTGTGTTTTTTGTCAGAAATATAGCTGGGCACAAATAGGAGTCCTTTATTCAGGCTTAAAGTCATTTTTTAAAAAAGGACAAAATTAGCTATTACCATTCTCCCAAGTCTTAACTTCCAAATGTTCTAAAACTGCTTTTGTTCACTTGTTAGTTGCTTTTTTAAAAATGTTGTTTTTTTCTGAGTGTATACTTGTTATCTGAGAGCGATTTTTTCTTATACAAGATACTGAGCATGCTGTTAAGTGGAGTCCTGATAGCCTTTGGTAAAGATGACAGTGGGGGAAGATGAGCAGAACATGTGACACAAGCAGATTAGCACCTGCAAAAGGCATTTTAAGTGCAATGTGGAGAGGAAAGTTGAATGGATGGAGAATAACAGTTTAAAAACTTCTCTAAAGTCCATGAAATATGGTTGGAGCTTGGACTAGGTAGTAGCAGTAGAAACGTAGCAAAGTGGCTTAACTGGAAAGTTTCCTTAAGGTAGCATTGGTAAAACTTGGCTCATAGATTGAATGAGTGGAAGGGAAAGCAAGACAGAGAGGTAGCAAGGATGAATGACTCCTAGATTATAGACTTGCACACTGGGATGGATCTGGTGCCATTCCTAAGGGAATGAAGCCTGGAAAAGATTCATAAGTGAAATAGAGAAGATAATGTGAATATGGGTTATTTAAAAGTAAGAAATAGATACGGAGTATGGATAATGACTCATAAATGGCTTTAAGCCTGTAGGCACAAGAAACTGGAGGGATAATGGGACTACTGACAAATAGGAGGTCTCGTGCCAAAATTATAGTGAGCATATTTAATCTTTCTTTAAAAATTGAGAACACTCTGGCACTGCCTGGAGGCCATGACTGTGACCATTCTTTATCACAGAAATGTGGCTGTAGAAGTGCTAGTCAATAAGGAACTTGTGTTGAGAAAAGAATGCTAGAAAAACCAGTTTTTGTATTGCTCCCATTATATATAGAGTAAAGCACTAAGGTAGAGCATTTCTCTGTTACAGATTCAGTTACACTTTGGCTAAATAATGCTCTCATTCAAGTGGTACCTCTTCCTACCCTAGCGAGTTTAACACAAGCATTATCCATGTTTCCAAAACAACTTTATCATCAAAATGCATTTAATATTGTATTATTAATAATATAAATACTAAGGTCCAGAGTAACTGTTATCAGTTGAATCATTTTGTGGTCTGAGTTTTCAAAGGTATAAAACAGAAATTCTTATGCCAATTGCAAACAGGCAATGGTTTCTCCATCACAGAATGGAGGCAATAAGTGAGGTCATTTTAAAAATCATTTGAAGATTCCACTGATGTAATCAGTTGTCTTGGTGATACACAGCATTGTTATTATTATTATTATTATTATTAGCAACTTAAGTAATTTACTTACTTGTTTCTGATATGTATGAATTAATTTTATATTCATGCTTTCATTATTATGTTATTATCACTGAACTTAAATCCTGATAAACACTGTTAAGACAAAAACCAAACAGACCTACCAAAAAATAAAAAAACCAAGAAACAGATTAGCATCAGTTGTGTGACTGAATTTTGCAGGTGGTTAGAATGCAGGGGATTAGGAACTCAACACCATTGAGCAATGTTTTATAACCATCAAAGCTTTACTTTTGTCCTCTGAGTCCTATGATACATGATCTTTAAAGTGCCTTCTGCTCTAATATTTTATCCTAATATGTTTTACCTTAAAATATACATTAAAATATGCATTTGCAACTTCACTGAGGGTCTTAGGCAAAGCCTGGATTCCTTTTAAGAATGAGGTTCCAAGTTCTGGTCCCATGATCTACTAGCTGTCCAAATAAATCAGGTGTTTTTGACCTAGTGCTTATTAAGACATGAAGAAGTAACTCTGGTTTACATGTTAATAAGCCAGACAGGAAATGAAGAGGTTGAACAGATTATGACGCACAATATTACAAATTGTACTAAGTGTTATGAAGGAAGCTGGAAAGCGCATTGTGATAAAAGTGATGAAAGGGTGCAAATGTGAGCAGTTGGTCAGGAAAAGCTTCTCTCAGGCAATGATATTTAAACTGAGATGAAATACATGGAAAGGATCAAAAGAAGAATATGAAGTTAAATAGAAAAGCAGGTACGAAGTTCCTGAGTAGAGAATAAGGGTACAACAGGAAACAAATCGGATGCAGAAGCAGATGTGAGAAGTGAATAATCAATGAAACCAAACATTAAAGAGATACGCACTTACTCCTGTGAGATTGGCCCATATCAAAAAACAAACAACAAAATGCTAAACAAACCAGCAACAACAAATGCTGGCAATGTTGTGGGTAAAAAGGAATCTCCATACTTTACTGGTGGAAAGGTAGACTAGTCCAGCCCCTGTGTAAACCAGTCTGGAGGTTCTCAAAATATTAAAATAGGTCTATCATATAACCCAGCAATTCCACTCCAAAGAATGCAAAAACTCTAAATCCAAGCATTGTATCTTCTCCTATGCTCATTGTAGCACTATTTACAATAGCCAAGTTATGCAAACAATCATAAGTGCCCAGCAGCAGAGGAGTACATTAAGAAGATGTGATACACACACACACAATGGAATATACTATTCAGCAAATTAAAAAAAAGTTAACTCTTGCCATGGATGGAGGGAGGCATGCTAAGTGAAATAAGTCAGAGGGAGGAAGACAGATGTCAGATGATTTCACTCATATGAGGAATGTAGAGGAAAGAACCAAAAGAATTGACACAAGCCAAAGCCAACCCTAGAAATATTCTACAGAACTGAGACTACAAGAGGGGGAAGGGAGATGGGCACAGGAACAAAGGGGGGGTGCAATGTTCTAGGGTAAAGGACTGTTGCTTTGATGGGGGGATGATGTGGTGACACACCTCTGAGGCCATGTGAACCGGTCTCCTGAATCACAAATAGTGTTGTAAACCAATGTTAGGGAGGAAGCCAAGAAGGAAGGAGGGCAGGGACTGAGGTGATTTGAAGAATGTAAACCAATATCAAGCCTCTATGTGCAGTTTTATTATTGTTGAAAATATGGTTATTTTCCAATAAAAGATGTAGTTAGTTAAAATATTAATTAACTAAATTCACTTTAATTGAGACGATTTTTTAAAAGTAGAATTTGGTTAATATGGATTGAAAACAACTCTCTAGTGTCCTCCCTTATTAATGGGCTGAAGGAGTTCTGTGACCCAGACCTGTGCCAGCACTGGTCTCAGTGTGTCCAGGGTCCGAGGAGCCTACTATTTCAGTCCTCACTGTCACTGACTGCGAGGGGTCACACCTCTGTACATACCCACCTCCCTCTCTCTCCTCAGGCATTCCAGATCCTGGACCAGCAGAGGCACCAGATGTAGCTTCCACACAGAATCCCGTCATGCTGGATTCTGCCATTGCTCGACCCCTGCCCCTCAGACCCCTCCATCCCGCACCCTGGCACCCCGGCGTCCCTGAGTCTCAGTTCCCGATTCCCGGGGAAGCTACACCGCCACCGACCCATCGCCGTCATCTAAGCTCCTCACATTTCGGACCCTCGCGCCCACCCTCCCTCATCTCGCAAACGTCTTCCAGACCCCCACCGCCGCCCACCGCTCCCCTACCCGCCAGGCAGGCGGTGGCGTCGATCCACTTGAGCAACTGCCCGGCGCTCAGCTCGCCGCGGGGGTTGGCATGCGCGGGCTGGATGGCCTGGCTCATGTGCACCTCTCGGGGCGCCGGGGGCTCCATGGTTGGGGCCAAGAGACCAAAGCCCCGGGGCCACAGGCGCCTGGGTTTGCTGGCTCCGCAGCGGGACCCGCCCCGGCTCCAAAGGGCACAGTTGCGGGGCTAGTCCTGGCCAGGAACCCTGGGCGCTCCCTGCTGGCCGCTGGGTAGCCTGGTGCATTGGCAGGAGAGATTTAGCATGTTTTGAACAATACTCCGGAATATCACGAGGAGCTAGAAAAATAATTCTCCTCTTTCTCAGAGGAAGCCAAATCTGGGGTAACACATTGACAAAGTAGGGCACTGATACTGAAGTTGGCCATGTGACTTGCTTTGGAAAGGGATGCGGGCAGGTAACAGTGTGCCAGTTATGAGCCTAGCATTTGCTGTGAGCTCCACTTGTTCCTGTTTTCCAAGACCTCTGTCTTCTGCCATGAGGAGATTGCCTAAAGTGCTGTTCCTTGCTTCTGGGTGCCAGTGTAAGTTCATATATTGCAGAACTGACCCAGTCAACCTGCAGACTTGCTGCCGGGAGCTGAGCCACCGACCAGTCACGCAGATGTGTGAATGAGACATGACTCCTGTTGCATGTCACTGTGACTTTGGGTTGGTTGTTACACAGCAATAATGGATGTTAAATGCACTAATTTCACTTATTAATATTTTAGGAAATGTACTAACTTAATAAAAATAAAATTTGTGTTTATATTGAATTTTTTGGGTGAAAGACAGTGTCTACAGTGGTAGTACTCCATATTGTACAGTTGGTTTCCTGTCAACGTGTTTCAAAAAGGTTTAAGTATAGGTGTGAGAAGGTAATTTTCCACAGTAATTATCTGGAAGGGTCAAAGTTTATCTGTAAAGATAGGTCTAGCACATTTGATGGAAAAACAGATGAAATATACAAACCCACTATTGTGTTTTCTTATATGTATTATCTCCTGTTTAGATGGATTTTGATTGTGGTTTCTAATCTTTTGTTCATTTTACTCTGATTTTCATTTTAATAGCCTCTGCCTGAAATGGCTCTTTATGTTTTCTGAATGTCTTTTTTCCTTCATCACAATGAAAATGTCATCTACATGTGTGAACATTTGCTATATCTTTTATCTGTCAAGGATTTTTGCTATTATGTTTAAAGAAAAGGCCTCTGCTTTCCATTTCTGTTTAGAGGCATCTTTTGAAGAGTCCTCTGTGAAGGCAGCTTGTTTTGAAAAGGTCATGTACATGAGCAGGAAAGTTGATCACAAAGAGTATGCAAAGCCTGGTCATCACTAGACTAATGAGAATATCGCTAGAATGCTGCAACAGAAAGGAACGTAGATAGTGGCATCGCTCTTCCTGGAAAGGAAGAAATGAAATGTTTGCCCTGTCACATTGCATGGGAATGATCTGGTTTTGAGAAAACACAGAACAAGGAACATGGACCATAAGAACAGAGAAAAACGTGCTTCTCCCAGAAGCAGACTCTCTAGCAAGAGTTTGAGAATAAGCAGTTGCAGAGAGCCTTGGCAGAGGAGTCAGAGTGTGGTCTCCAGAGCAGCAGCATTGGCTTCACTTGGGAGCTTGTTAGAGCTGCAGAATTTCAGGTTCCATCACAGACCTGCTAAGTCAGAGTTGAATTTTATGAAGATTCCCCGGTGAGTCATGAGCACATGAAAGGTTGTGTAAAATAGTTTGAGCTTCTTCCAGAGACATGGAAGCTAGGGTTTTCTCCTCTGCTCTCATTCTTCATTGACTAAAAGCTGCTTCCTCAAGCCCTTGCAGAATGCAGGGCTGAGCGTCCATTCAACAGGATGGCGGATGCTGCCCAGTGGAGTCCCCTAGAGGCCACTAATGCTACCGGTTAATATACCGATTTAAATGAATTTTCAAATATACCAATAGAGCCAGCCTTGCAACCCTGAAAAAACCCCCCTTAGTGGTGATGTGAAATTCTCATTATTTTATTTGCTTTTTTATTCAAATTTCTGTTAGAGATTTTTATATCTACATTTTTTGAGACATTTGGTCTTTTTCCTTTTTTATTGTCTATCTGATTTTGGTGTAAGGTTCATAAAACAAGTAGGAAACATGCCCATCTATATTCTAGAAAATCTTGTATGTATTTGATTCTTTCAACATTTGGTAGGATATTTTTTTTCGAGACTTAAAAATTCCTAATTCAAATTTTAAAGTTGTTATGGGGCTATACAATTTATGTATTTCAGATTGGGTGCATTATGGTAGCTTTTGGTTTTAGAAGAATTGGTCCATTTCTTCTTGAGAAGTCAATTTGCCAAAGGTAAGAGTGAACTAAAGCTTGATCGGGCACTTCTACCCTGTGTGAAAAGCCTTCGCCTCTCATTGTGGCCCCTGGAACTAACCTCTCTTTTCCCCCAGATCTCTCCAAGTCTTTTTTTTTTTTTTTTTAAGATTTATTTATTTGTGCATACAGAACTGGGGTACAGGCCAGAAGCTCAGGGGCGGCGAGAGGCTTCACCAGAGACAGAGTGGGGAGCAGAACAGGCAGATGGACGAAGTACACTGCTGAGGGGAGCAGCGGGTGGTTCGGGGGGGTCTGCCGCGCCCTGTGGTCACCTCCGGGGCAGGTGGGAATCGAACTCATGTGGAAGCGGCTTTAGATTCTCAGTGCTGTGCTTTAACCCGCTGCACCACCAGGGAGGGCCCTCTCCAAGTCTTTTGCCTAAAGTGTTTCCTTGTTCTCTAAGTTGGTTTTCTATTAATTCTCTCTGAGTCACTGGTTTCTCTTAGACAGTGGTTCTCAATTCTTTGGGCTGCCCAGAGTTGCTGGGTCAGACATTCTGGGGATGAGGACAATAATCTATGTTTTAACATATTTTCTATGCAATTCTGTTGCACACTAGTGTTTAAGAACCACATACAATGCTTTCTCATGGAAGGGCTGGAATTTTCATCTTAATCTTTCCAAAACTGTGTTTAGTTTAACAGAAGACACTTTGAGATCATTATGCCTTGGGAGAAAAAGGCATAGTTTCGAGTCCAGAGGATGTGTTTATGTCTGGGTTGGACTCTCTTCTGCTGGTGTTGATCTTGGATATCACTCAGCAAAATTGTGATTCTGTAGGTTTTTCTTTGTATAAAATGAGGATGCTCTCCTGACTTCATAAGGTTGTAATTAGGTAACAGAAATTTTTATGAAATGCAGTCAGGATAGACATTACTGGGGGCCCATTAATCTTCATAGCACTTCCAGTAACAGTCCTTTTGTAGAATTGAGAGATGAAACCCATACAAATTAATAGACTCTAGTAACATGCCACACAGTCCTAGGAAGTGGGAGACTCTCATAATACCCAACTTACAGATGAGGAAACTGAAGCAACTTGCCTGAGACCACAAAACAAGGAAATAGCAGAGACAGGATTTAAGCTGGTAAAACTTTCCCTGTTCCTTTCATCTTTGTGGAACTAGGTGGAGAAGGAAAGACCCAGGAGAGAGCATCTACCTGGCCAAGCTTAAGTCATATACCTGCGCATGGTTATAGGGGTAAGGGAGGGAAGGCGTGGAAGGGTAAAATCTGTCTCTTAGTTTCAGTAGAGATGAGAGAGATCTGTGGAATTATGTTTTAAATAAATGAAAAAACTGTGGGGGAGAAATTACTCCCCAAAAGGAAACTGAGAATCCAGAGAGAAAAGGAGAATCTTTCAGAATTATTTGCAAGGGCATTAATGGGGAAGATCTAGGGAAAAGGGAACACTTTTGCAATGTTGTTGAGCTGCTGGGTCTCACCATGCCTGAAACCAGTATACTTTGGAACTTTCCAACTACACAAACAAATGTCATCCTTATAACCCCTTCATCCACTTTTGCTCTAAGACCATTTGAGTTTGGTTATCTGTAAGGCATAGCTACACTATTTCTTAGTTGACTTCCCTCACATAGACAGTGTTCTTATACAATTGTTAGTATAGGTGTTGTAATTTGGAAAAGATTTATAACATCAAAACTGGTTGATTGGTCGCATTTTCACAGAGATACCTGCTGAGGAGAGTGTGTTAAGCCAGAGCAATGGCATCAGGAAGGTTGCATTGCCTTAGGTCTATTGCTTCCAAGAAATCTGGCTTGGGATGCGTCCAGGTCACAGTCTATTCCTCAGTGCCCGTTTGTATTATCTTCCTCCTGTCAGACTGGCCGAGTTGATCACCCCGGGGGGAAAGTAGATTGGTAGTTTCCTAAGTAATTATAAAGAATAAGTAGTTGTAAGCTAATTTTTGTCTGACATGTTCTAGAGTCTCTTCCTCGACCCTTGGCATTTGTAGTGTGCTCAGATACCAGTACTTTTAATGATCAGAGTTGTTATTGCCTTTATTATTTTTGTTTGTGTTTTTAACAGTAATCTATTGATAAGAAACAGATTATTTCAACGGGTTCCATTTTTTATTATTAAAATAATAATAATAGAATTTTATCTTAATTTTTCTGAACTGGCATCCAGACCAAGTTGCAATACCAGTCTGGTCACTACCATTTGATTTTGTGCTGCATCCATCTTTGATGATGTCCTGAGAGGCATTCTTTGTTTTGTTACAGTGCTTTTGAACTCTGGTATTTCTTTTTCAGTTCTTTATTAGGACTTCCATCTTCAGCTGGTATGTCTGTTTTCATGCTATCTACTTTATCCATTAGAACCCTTAGTCTAATCACTATAGTTGTAAATTTTGTTCTGGTAATATCCCTGCCTTGTCTGATTCTGTTGCTTTTCAAATTTTATCGTTTTCCTTTTGGAAAATGATGGAGATGATGTGCCACTAGGTAAAGGAACTGCTATAAAAACAGACCTTTAGTAATGTGGTGGTGAAGTGTGGGGGGAGGGAGGTGTTCTACAGCCCCAGTTAAGGCTCGGATTTCTAGTGAGTTTGTGTCTTTGGACACTATAGTGTTTCTAAACCTCCCTCCCCTCAGGTGGGACAGCATCAGAACTTTTTCAGAAGTTTTTAATTTTTTAATGTTTTAAGCATAGTAACCTATTAACAAGTGGGTGGGAGGGGGTGTTTCTCTTCTTCGGGGTCAGGCGCTGATGAAGCCCCAGGTGTAGTCACTTTTGGCTGGAGCCTTTTATATGCCGGGAGGCTGCCTTGAGCAGGGCAGCGTCCACCTTGGAAGAGTCCACGCGGGGTCCCTAGCGGTGCGGTCTGCGGTTGCGGCGTTAACTCTTGGCCACTTTTCCTGAGGACGCCGCTGCTGCCCTCGAGTCTCTGCCCCAGTAAGTGGACGGCTTATTTTCACTTGTTTCGTCAGTTTTGTGGGAACTGATTTGCTTTGCGTCCTACCCTGGTTGATTTCTCGGTCTGCTTGGCTTTTTCCTGGTGGTTTGGATGGAGCGGTGACTTCCAAGCGCCTTAAATGCGAACCGGGAGTGTTTCTAGCAGTTTTTGAAAGATTCGAATTTGTTTTTAAATCTTAAAAACGATAGGGAGCAGATGCTGAGATGAAGTTAGGAGTTTAAAAGGCTGTTTGGGGTGTCATGCTTGTGAAAGGAGAGGGGCAAAAGTTAAGATCGGGTAGTCGCGACTCCGAGTGCTTGGCAGAGCTGAGAGGCCGGGTGGCGGGGACTGGGCGCAAGGACTGTGGGTGCTGAGGGGTCACTTGGGCTGACATGGCCGCGTGCTT